GCAGCAAACAAGCAAAAGAATGGCGATCAAAATCAACCTCCACACCATTTACCCGTGTCTTACAAGTTTTATAATTAGGCCCCCCACAAACGACAACACCCCTAAAAAACGTATGGCCGGAGATAATGTCTTGTTTTAGGATTTCAACCTCTTACGGGTGGAAAAAAAATTTCAATCTACGCCCACAAAACGGGGTCTTGATATATCTTAGAGGTTCTTTTCAAAATTTCCGCCGAGCATCCCGATCCTTTTCATATGAGAGTCCCCCCGGATCTCCATACTATGCGCAGACTGACAGCAGTTCGCTGTCTTATAGAAGCCTTTTATGTGTCACAGAGGGAGAGGAAGAGGAAGACTGTAAAAAGACTATGTGACAGGAAACTGACGAGGGATTATCGCCGTAAACAGAAAGACTTGTAAATTCCCGTTTAAAATACTCATCGAGTTCTTTAGTTTGGTTCTGAGGGAAAAACAGGGGAAGGGGGGAGGCAAAGACTTGAGAATGAGGATGACAAGGAGTATAGGAGTATATTTTTTGGAGGAAGGGGTGTGAGTGTCCGACATTCACGATGACGATATTCTTGAAAGGAAAAAAATTGTTCATTTCTTTATTAAAACGGCCCTACCCGCCTTTTCTGTGCAAGTAACCCAAAAGGGTCCCCCCCCGCCCCCCACTACGCCATTCAAAGCAGTTAGAGTATAACACTCATACCTTTATTTTTTCCCGCATCTTTCGCGCTCTTTGCCGCCTGTTTCTGCATTTCACGAGCATTGTTCATGGCGGTTTCTGTCGCGTGATGTTCACATTTCTTTTCCAAAGCCAGAAGATCTTTTTCTCGCACCAATTCATTCAGTTCTCCTACAAAAACATCAATTGATTTAATAGAAGGGTCAAGTCAAGTCTCCGCGTGGTCGCGGACCTTCCGTTAGTTTTTCGTCCTTTTCGCGTGCGCGTGATTTGAGTCGTCACGTAGCGCTTCCTTGAAGTCACGCAAAAGCGCCGCGTGACAACTCAAAGTGCAAGGGACACTACCGGTAAGTCTTTAATGTTTGCTTATGTCTCGCCCAACTTACTTTTTAAGTGGGCCACAAATTCCTCTTTCTTTCGGGTGGTCTCTTGTTCTTCTAGTAATTTATCTGTAATAACAGCAAAAACAGCGTTACAATTATGTCGTGAATCGACTGTATAACGGTCTACATTCCTCGGAAATTCCTCCTTCGGGGGAGGAGCGCGGATTCCTTTCCCGAACAGCAGCTGGTAATCGAGTCTACATGCAAAACCGATCTCAGGCTAGAAACATAAGAATTGTAGGGAAGATGCCAAAGAAACGAAGCATGAAAGAAATACAATGCGGCGTTAAATTAGCTGGCAAAATGTTATTACGCGGAGCACAACGTGTGCAACAACATAATAGTGAGATGGCAGTGACAATGTACCTCTCAGATCTAAAATTTGCTGTTTGAAGTCTTTAGTGTAGGACTGCGCATTTTTCAGCTCCTCTGAAATTAGATGAAATAAAAACGCTGATTTAAAATAACAAAAGCAAAGCAAAATAATATTGTGTATTGACTGGTGTGCGTGGATTTGACCTGTTACAAAGACTAAAATCATGGTAAGGAGCTGTTACGACGAAAATTTTCAGAATTACTGTTAGGAAGTGAGAAAGCTATGTTCGTTAAATGAGTTACACATCACAAAATAATACAACGCTCAAGTGATAAAATAGAAAAGACGAAAAATTGTTAATCATTATCCATTCTCTCCCAGATAAAAGGACTGTTACATAAATTTTGCGTCTTTGAGTTATAATTTATTACACCAGACTAAGCCCTGTTTGTCAAGTGAAGTTTCCTCTGGTCATCACTACACGTACAATGTTAACATACAATTACTAAGCAGATATCTTCTAAGTTTATCAAACTTATATTATTCCAAGCTTAGGCTCACAAAATAAATCTATCAGTAAATACTAATCATTAAATACTACACTACATCTGGATATACGGACAAATGTATACAGGGCAATTTTCAAAAATAATTGCTTATTTTTCCTTCAACGATTTGTTGAACAAGTTAATCACCGGTCTGTTAAGGAAGGAAACCCTCAAGTGTAAATCACCTTGTAATTCGACCACAAGTTCGTTGTTTTCCTTGAGTTCTTG